AGGAAATGGAAAATGTGTCGGCTACGATCTTTGCCTCTGCAATTCCTCTTGGTCGGGTCGCGCATGCAGCGTTCCTGATTGTAGTGCTGTAAAAAATTGCTCTAGCCAAGGAGATTGCATCCTGCCTAACATTTGTTCTTGTTATCCAGCTTTTGATGGCGAATACTGCGACCAGAGCACAAAAGCAAACATAAATCCTCCAAGATTTAACGACACTTTTTATAGTGCAACCATTGTGGAAAATTCTCCTGTAGGAACAGTGATTTTACAAGTAAAAGCCAACGATACAGATTCAGGAAGAAACGGTCAGATATTTTATGCCATACTTGGTGATGATAACGTAGAAAGTATTCTTACCATTGGCGGACAATCTGGAAAGGTTTACATCGCAAAGAAGCTGGATTTTGAGACAATTGAGATGAAATCATTCAATGTCACCCTGGTTGCTGCGGATAATGGATATCCACAGAAATCTGGAATCGCTACTGTGCAGATAGCAGTAATGGATGAAAATGACAATTGTCCGACCTTCATCGAGCCACCAGGAGATCTAAAACTAGAATTCCTTACACTCATACCTGGAGAAACCGTAACCAAAATTTCTGCAATTGACTTGGACAGTGGAGTAAACAGCTATATAACTTATAGCTTATCCAAAAATGACGCGTTCTCTATTGATCCCAAAACTGGTGTAGTTACCGTGGTGTCCCACCTGACAAAGAAAGTTCATTATCTCACTGTTAGTGCCAGTGACAATGGGGACGTTTCTTGCATAACAGACATCAGTTTGACAGTTGAAATCGGCGTCTTTCCGACAACAAAAGCCCGGACTAGACCCACCACTCCCTTCTCAAACAGGAAATCTAAAACCTCTAGTACATCTACTTTGCCTGAGTCTTTGCCTCCGACAACAGAGCCCCGGACTAGACCTACCACTCCCTTCACAAACAGGAAATCTGAAACCTCTGGTACATCTACTTTGCCTGAGACTTTGCCTCCGACAACAAAGCCCCGGACTAGACCTACCACTTCCTTCACAAACAGGAAATCTGAAACCTCTGCTACATCTACTTTGCCTGAGACTACGGCGTTCACAGGTAAGTTTTTTTCTATTTGTAAATGGTGAGAAAATCATCAAAGCGCTTTTCTTGGCTAAATAGTTGAATGACAAACTCAAACGAAAGAAAATAAGTGAACAAAGTACTTACAAGGGAGATGAACCAATATGGAGCAAAGATGAACAAGATGAACAAACACAAGATTCACCCAATTCAAAGCCTGATATATTAACCGATTTAACCTCTTTAACAAGTAGAATTAACTATTTTACATTTATCACTGAAATTAAAGATGGAGTCAACTAGCTTGCCCATTAAATTCTGCAATTGAATCAGTACTGGAGAAACCGCATAGAAATGTCATGGAGAGATTGAAAAGAGTTAGCGTAAACGTTGTGTTCATTTAGCGTGCAAACGCGTTACCAATTGTTATAACAAATTCAGAAAGTGTTTAACGATTTTAACATCGTTTGTATTATAAAAAGTTAATAACAGTTCATTAATGAAAAAAATAAACCGTGGTATGGAGACCCGCAAGTCGCATGCTTGACGTAAACAGATCCGAATCCTTCATCAAGCGGATAAGTAGAAAAAGAAATTAGCGGGAACCCATTCCTTGCCTTTTCGTTCGAGTTCATGTTTGAAAAATATTTTTTATTCTTTCTTTTTGGACAAAGGAGTGACAACGTCGCATGTACCAACGGAGGCAGACGCGGTTCCTCAAGAAGGTTCAATTTATGGAATAATTGGTGGGTCTTTAATTGGAGGAGCACTGCTTCTTTTGATTGCCGCGCTGGTGATCAGAAAATGCCTTTGCAAAGACAGAATATCTCCAGAAACTACGGGAAGATTGAATGCTGGTATGGATTTTGAGCTGTCTAAGAGGATGTGAGAACATGCTATATCTGACGACAGGTTTCAAAATGAAAGTTCGCCAGGAGAGAAAGAACCCGAGCTACTTTCTTGGGTTACCTGTGGTCGCAGTACTTTACTCGTATACTTAGCAGTAAAGGGAAGCTTTTTTTACAAGCTCACTTACTGAGTTGATAATATTAGTATCAATATCAGTCAGTAACAAACGGAACAAAAACATTGCAATGCAGTGTCATTAGGAGATTAAACCTCTCACCTAGACCTAGTATATCACTGTTATATAAAGATTATCAGTAGTACAGAAAATAGCAGTGGTAATAGCGCTAGCAGTAGAAGTAGTTGTAGCAATGGAAGAAGCAGTATGCTGTAGGAGTGGTGTTCACAAGGGCAGTAGCCGTAACAATAGCAGGAAGCCATCAACTAACTTACCTATACATCTAAATCTTAGTTAGAGATGATTGTTGGTTACATATCTCTAGTTTCCCGTATATCATAGGAGGATAATTGTAGGAACGAAGAGTAGACATATTAAGTTTAATTTTCTATCTGATTTTGAGTGTGAAAAAAGTTTGAATAAAAGCGTGGATTGTTTTTAATTTTGTTGTGCAGTGTGAGAAGCGGTTTTATATATAGCTCAATCAATAGCTTTCATACGCGATTAGAATTTAGTTCTTCCCAGGACAGCACTAACTCCTCACCCCTGACATGACTGTTTCTTCTTTTCTCGTAAAAAAAAGAATAAAGGGAAAAATGTTTCAGCCGCATTAACTGAAAAGAAATTAATAATTATAAAAACTCTAATTGAATTTTTGAAAATGTCCATTGTATTTAAGCTCAGCTGTAGTTTCTTGTGAGCCAATAAAACCCAGGAATTGCAATAGTATGGGTAGTTTTCAATGTGAGACTCAGAAAACCTTCAAAAATTATTTATTGTTCTGTTTCTGATGGCTACGTCACGTTGTAACCAATCACATTCGAGTTAGAACACAAAAGAAAAACTTCAAACCCGGAAATTGATCACCATTGTTGTAGGCTGCTTAGTTTTCTCTCAGCTGATTGGCTTGAACCCTTGAACTCCCAGAAGTGATTAACATGTAACTTCTCCCTGGCAATGACAATCCTCAAACTTTTCTTGAAGAATTTGTTATTTTGATCTAACACCAAATTCTCGTTACCAATTTACACGGAAATATATAGCTGCAAAAGGGGAGAGTAAAAAGTCAGCGGAACTTGGGATTTGAAGGGTGAACCCTTTAACTCCCATGATCCTTTGAGTACTTCTCTCCTCTATTGCTACCACATTTCCTTATGAACTAGTTGGGATTTGGTCTTATATCAAGATAACACCTACTCACCAACAGGCCTATTGTATGTTTTTATAACCTGCTATAATGAACATATTGGAATTATGAGGAGAAATTACATGTAGATAAGTTTTAGAAGTGAAAGAGTTAAAATTTTTTGGAGCACCATATACAGTATTCCTTGAGTAAAAGTATTCCTAGTTTCATGAATTGCACTTGAGTGAATAAAACTGTTTAGTTATGTTTGTGTTTCAGATACTATGTCATTTACTTCATCCACGCTGTTTCTGGTCCTCATCTTTGTCATCTTAACACTCCAAGCTACTTGCTATTTCTCTCTGCTTCGCTACTCCAGGACAAGATCAAACAAAATTTACTTTACTTCAATGGCAGTCCTTCTCGCAGAGGTTGTGAAACTTTTCACAATGTTAGTGGCGATCTTTTTTCAGTGTGGAAATGTAAAAGCATTCACTTTGTATCTCATTGCCAATTTGTTTGTAGATCACAAGGCTACGTTTCGTCTATCTGTGCCATTTTTATGGTATGTTGTACAAAAGAATCTTGTTTATAGTGCAATGATGCATCTAGATCTAAAATCAACAACATTTCAGGTAATATGGGAAAAAAACGTTTTTCGTTATTTTGAAAGTCTGATTTTAAACTTTGCAGATATGTTGCTAAATTGGCAGTTATAAATGCTGTCTCAGGAAACAGACAATTTAAACTCTTTAACTAGGAATGTTCAACACCTAATTAATCTGCCCATGGTATCAATACAATATCCAGCAAACAGGTATGAGAATACTCAAACTTATCAGGTAGAAGTTGTTATCTTGATCTAACACCAAATTCTACCACTTAATTAAAAGGGAACGCCTAGCAGCTAGAGGAGAGAATTAAGAATCAGATCTTTAGAGTCAAAGATTTAACCCTTTTATGGGTATGATTTCAGCTCCAATTGTAATAATTATACTTCGACGTCTCAGTTCAATTACAAATGTTAATCAAAACTATAACAAAGTTCTTGAACGCGATTGGTTATCACCAGCCCGATTTGAGCAGTAATAGGACAGTGTGCGTGCTACGTTTGTAATTAGGCAGTGCAATGGGACAGTTAACCCATCAT